TTTTTTATTTAATAATTCATATTTTATAATATAATATAATTTAGATTCTAAAATAAAATTTTGTTTTCTTAAATAAAACATTTAAAAGAACGCTTACCATATGTAAATAAATTTTTTTTAAAAATTATAAGAATATTATTTTATTTAAACTATATTTTAATATATTCAAACAAAACAAATTTTGAAATGAAATTTTTTTAAAAAAATATGACAATAGTTGAATTTAAATTTTATTCGCAATGAAACACGGTTGTAGGCATTGCCTTGAATGCCTACACTGTCAAAGCAGTCAACTTTTTTTTTGCCCCAAAAAGTACCAAAACGACGACGGTTGCTGCTTGAGTCGTGACACGCATGTCAAGATGGTCAATTTCTTTTGCCCCAAAGGGGCGAAAACAACCAAGCTCTCTAATAAGGGAACATGCTCAATGTTTTGTCCGTGTTCTCTTTTGAGAAAAAACAATCAAAGGAAAAAAAATTATTTCACATGCTTTTAGTTGTTAATGCTTTTTATTTTGTTGACTAAAGAATTTAATAAAAAGGCAATTTTAATTTTCATAAATTTTATAGGATCGACATAAATGATAAATATGGTAAGCTATCAAATACCGTGATAATTACAAAAATAATTATTTAAAAAAAAATTTAAGTAGGAGTCCCTATATTTCAATTTGGTTTGCCATGCCGTTATAGTGTAATTGAATTAGCTAATTTATTAGCCTATGGCTTTTTCTCCTTAAGCAATTAAAAAAGATGTTTGGAAACATCAATTTATAAACTAATTTTAAATTAATATTAATTATTTTATCAACTATCAACCAATGACTATAGCCAACATCCAACAGCTACAACTATTAGTATTTCTTTCTTTCTTTCTTTTTTTTTTGAACAAATTCGTGAGGTCAAATTCGAACATTTGCCCTGAAGGAAAGAAAATGCACTTATACATGACTTGGTACCACTAGACCCAAGGCCCAAGTGCACAACTATTAGTATTTCTAATAGCCAAACCAAATAAAACTTTAATAAATCTAGTGATATGTTGAAATTGCCAAAGTGCCTCTAATGAATCAACATGGGAAAGAAAAATTCAAATATCTTATTTTTACCTCAAAATTAAAATTTTAAAGTAGCAAGTATCAACTCATTTAACTCTAGTTGGTATATACTTTGTTAATTTTATTATCTAATAAGAAAGTTTTAAAATAAAAGAACAAAAAAGAATTTTGCAATTTAAATTGTATTGAACTGCATAACATAAACGATTAGATAAAGGATGGGTCCCTTGATATTGGGGCCCTTCCCCTATTCAACTGTTCTTGTTTTGTAATTTAATATGGTTCAAACTGCAAAAGAGTGAACTCATAAAAGAAACTAAACAAAAGAATTTTAGTAATGTTTAAGCAACTCTAGTTAGGATCTTAATCCTTAACTTTTACAAATGCAAATGTGAGTTAGATTTCGGAATGTCATTCAAACTCTAGGTTCATTGCATTTTTTTTAATTATATTTATTTATTCAAATAGTATTTAGTTTATAAATATCTTCAATTAACTCATTAGTTAAACATATAATTGTAACGTAATTAACAGTCAAATAATAAATTAGGGTTTAAATGCACCAACTTAAATAGTTTAAGGTTAATTGTATAAAAATATTGTTTTAAGAACTTTATTGATAAATACTTGAGAGTTTGAGCCCTAAAAGTAAGGTTTTTTTTCTTAGAAAATGATGTTTTTGCTATATTTTCCATCTAAAAGAGAAAAACAAGTGATTTTTATCTCAGATCTAAAAGGAAAAGGTTTTTTTTTTTTATTTCAAATCTAAATGTAGGTTTTTTTCCTCTCATCTCGTCAAATTTAGATGGGATAGCTTTTCCCATCTTAGATATAGAGGTGATTGATTTTTTTTATTTCAAATTTGAAAAGGATGTGTTTTCTTATCTTATATGTGAAAGGAATAATTTCCTAACCTTTGATCTAGATGTGGATAGGAGTATATGTGTAGGAGAATGAAAAAAAAAGTGAAGAATATTAGATCTTGAGAATATTCAAGGGAAAAAAAAAAAACTCTACAAAGTATAAAATCTAGATAGGTACAGTAAAGAAAGAAGAAATCGTCGGTAGATGAGAAATTGACTAGAAGATTATCCCGAAGAGGAAGAATATTGGCTCAATAAAAAAGTTTCAGCAAATGAGAGAAAGTTCTGAAGTTTAATAGTAAAGGTGATTTTTATCAATTTATTTTTTTAACTAATTATCTTTAATTGAAAATAATATATGCTTGACATGTTTAAATCTTCAAAAGTAAGTTAATAGCCTTGTATTATTTCTATGATGCGTTAGTTTTTTTTTTTTTTTTAATCATGAAAATATATCTCAATTATGAATTTGGTATTTGTACATTTAAAATTTTATTTTATTTTATTTTTCTTTTCCTATCTTTCCTTAGTAGATTAAAGAAATATATGGGTATGATCTATAAAGAAAATATGTTACATATCTCTAAATACAAGGCTTTTTTAATCTCAAATTTAAATGTATGATTTTTCTTCATAAGATCTAAAGATATTGGTTTTCCTTATACAAAATTTAAAGAGATGTGTTTTATTAATCTCATATTTAGAGGGAGAGTATATGTGAAAAAAATGTAAATATTTTGAGAAATGATTAATCTTTAGAGAAAGGAGGAGGATGGAAGGATAATGGTAGGATGGAAAGTAAGAGAAATGAAAACAAGTAGAGGACTAGATCTTAAAAGTCTTTAAAATGAAATGTTATGAAATATAAAACCTATACAAGATGAGAGAGAGAGAGA